ATAGGTTTCGGATCAGGAGTTGTACGAGGTAGGACTCGGGATCGGGAACTGGTAACGCTACGCTCGCCGGAGCGCCTTATATACCGGCGGCCGGCCTCCCACTCGCGCGATTCCACGTGTGGTGGGGTGGTCCCTACGGTGGGGCCGCGACACGGGTGTGGGAGCTTAGGGACGCCATAAGCGCCGAGCCTCGAAAAGCGCGCGGTCGATCGGCCCGCTAGGCCGTTAGTAACGGTATCGTTATAAATTAAATATAACTGACATATTCTGATTATGAATATTTATTTACTCATCAATTTTATTTAAATAATAGGCAAAAGAAAAAGAGAAGGAGAAAGAAGAAAGAAAGCGGGAGAAGGAGAGACAAATAGAGTATAAGGTATATATTATAAATTATAATTAGTGCATAATTAACTAAAGTAATATTTGTTATTTAATAATTCACAAAATTTTTCATTTTAATCGAAATAAATAATCGTTAATAGAGTAGTTCCATATATAAATAAATATATTATCAGAAACATATATTTATAAATATAATATATATAATTACCCAAGCAGAACAGAAAATCACAATAATATCAAAATGACATCATACTTACTATCAAAAGTCATTATGATGTCTTTTCGATGTCATTTTGATGTCATTTTGGTGTCATCTTGAGGTCATTTAAATCGTGGCGGCCGTTACGAAGACCACCCTGTATATGTGTATGTATGCATGTATATATTATAATCATAATAATATTATAAAATAATATTACTCCTTATTTTAAGAGTAGTTGTTTCAAATATTGTTTTTTTTTATAGTTTTTCAAAGCAAGCTAATTCGCGATATGTGGTTAGATATTTTGGGTCTTAATTTATCACAAATCCTAAATGGAGCACGCATTTGTTCCGTTCACTTTAAAGAGGAATCCTTGGATAGAACAAATCTTTCGAAAATTAGACTTAGGGCAAATGCATTGCCATTTAAAGCCGAGGAAGAAAGAGAAGAAGAAGTATCATTTGTTACATGTCGTATGTTGAAAAATTATTTATTTCTAGAAAATGTATAATCCAACAATAATTTTATATTATTACATATTATTGTTATATTATTATTTTAGCACAACCTTCAACATCTAAAGAAGACAAAGCAACAATGGTATCATTGAAACGAAGATATAATTCTCCAGAAAAGTGTAGATTAAGACAACAAATTAAATTCATGAAAAAGGAACATGCAAAACAAATACAAGCGTTGCAACAAAAATTTCGTTGACGTACTCATCAAGTTGCCACATTGAAACACGTTTTGGATACATTGAAAGAAGAAAAATTGTTAAATGAAAGGCAAACTGATATTATACATATCTTACAATTAGGTAGTAGGTCATAGAGTGCAATTTTTGAACGTTTGATTAAGAAACAAAATAATGAATTTGTGCCTAAACAATATGAACCACATTTACGTTTGTTTGCGTTAACTCTTCATTATTATTCTCCACGTGCTTATGAATATGTTCGTACTGAATTTAATTTGTGTTTACCGCATGCCAAAACTATTTCTTCGTAGTATAGAACTATAGATGGAAATCCTGGTATTAGTACGGAAGCATTAGAATCTATTACAAAACGTGTAAAAAATACAAATTATATGTTATTTGAAAGTTTGCAATTTGATGAGATGGCTATTCGCGAGCATTTAGAATATGATGGTTCAAAGTTTAGTGGCTATGTTGATTTAGGAATTGATATTGATTGTGATGATAGTATTTTAGCAACTGAGGCTTTAGTTTTTCTGGTCTCATGTATAAATAGTGCATGGAAAATTCCTATTGCGTATTATTTGGTAAAAGGAATGTCTTCAGAGGAAAAAAGTAATTTAGTAACGGAGTGTCTCAAGGCTTTGCATGAAACTGTTTTAAAAATAATATCTGTTACTTGTGATGGAACACCGACCAATTTTAGTGTATTTAAACGTCTCGGATGTAACTTTAAAGTTTCTTCATTGCAGACATTATTTCCACATCCTGTTTCGAATGACAAAGTCGTAGCTTTTTTCGATCCTTGTCATATGTTAAAATTAGTGCGTAACACTTTTGGAGACACCCATAATTTAATTGACAAAAATAATCAGATAATACAATGGTCACATATTATAAAATTACATGAATTACAAGAAAGTGAGGGAATGCACTTAGGGAACAAATTGCGAAGTGCTCATGTTAATTACAATCAGCAAAAAATGAAGGTACGACTAGCAACTCAAATTTTTAGTAAATCTGTGGCTGACTCACTTTTATTTTGTAAAAACGATTTAATGTTCTAATTTGTATTGAAAGTGTATGCGTGTTGTACAAAGAACTGTGTGAAAAAAACAAATTTTTGAAGTATTTACCTTTTTACAAACTAAGTCAAGATCATGTAGAATTATTGTTTGGGTGTTTAACACATCATGGAGGAGGAAATAATAATTCAACTGTTAGGCAATTTAAAGTAGCCATTAAAAAAAATTTGGTCCATGCAGATATACCCCGAGCAGCACATAAACATTGGTCTTATATTGGATCTATGTTGATTGCCCAACGTTTATTATATCGGCCCAACGTTCCGAGATAACAATAGACCAATGTTGGCGGCGTCACGCTGGTTTACTGATGGTCAATGGTTGGTGAAATGTTGGATTTTGCATTTAGCCAATATTATACCAACAATTGAAAAATGATTCGATCGGACAAAAACATTGACCCAATATTGGGCATATGTCGACTGTCTAAATTGTAGATATTGGCCCAACGATTTGAAATAATAATGGACCAACATTGTCTGCATTGCAATAAATATATAATTTTTAGCTAATATTAATTTCAAAAACCACAGATCCCAAAAATAAAATGGATATCAATAAATTTTTACCTACAACTGTTATAATTACATCCATATAAATCACATAGATTTTAACTCATTACAAGAATTCCTAGAATTATATAAATAACATGCAATTACTATATAACAGATATAAATAAAAATATATTGGTGTCCATTTTATTTTTGTGATGTATGGTTAATGAAAATAATATTAGTTAAACATCGTATACTTATTGATTAGAAATTGTCGACTAATTAAACCTCAATAATGGAAAGATCATAAGCAACAAATCAAAATAAATCAATTTTTGTAATAGAATTATGACATGTCTGAAATTCGGATATAGAGGTTGTCTTTATTATATAATATATGCAATAAAATAAACAGTTCTATAATTAAATGTTTTAATTCTAAGACTGAACAATACATAATTTAGAATAAATCTGAACAAAATAATATAATTTTTATTGTAATATAATTTGGTATAAAATATTGTTTATTATATTTATATAAAATATTGTTATACTATACTATAAATATTGTTATATTATATTATTTATATATATGTTAAGATCAGTCTTTATTTTTTAAAATAAAACGTTATATATGAACAATATATACATGAACTAATACCTTCCGAAGAAGTTATAAAGATTGCTCGCAAATGTGAAACAAAAATTCGTTGTGCTGTTTATGAAAGCGAAAGATTTATAAAACAAAAATTTAATGCAGATTATTTAACAAATCAGGTTTTAAAGCA